CATTCCTTTCTTTGCCAAGCTCATTTGTTGATGGTGATCTACATTTATAATTGATCTTTGGCTCAAAGCATTGACAAAAGCTGAAGTTCTATCAAAGAGTTCTTGTTTGGAGTTAGACATTTCCTTTGAAATGAGCTCTGGTTATCAAATCTTATCTGTTAAGCACCAAGATAGACATTATGGCCTCTAGTTCAATGCTCTAACTGCAGAGCTATACACTGGTGCTAGACAAGCCTTTATTCTTGAATAAATTTTTATTCTGTCTCATCTTGATCGTATCAATGAAATATTCTGAGCTCCCTGCATCAATCATTTGGGCCTTTTCTTGAACGGATACAATTGGACTATTTACACATTTTCAAACTCTTTTGCTGCCCTGTAACTCTTTCTGTAGGGGAAAATGAAATTAAAAATATAGACAAAAGTGTGGATTTTATGATCTAAAGAAGAAAAAAAAATGATACAATTGTATGCAAAATTTAGACATTTATTGTGACAATAAATTTATTAGTATGTGTATGCAAGAATATCTGGTTATCTGTTGTTTATATTTTAAACAAGTTTGATTTAATCCCTTGAAAACAAGAGGGGAAAAAATGGCTAATTCTGGATTTTCCTGTCCTGCACACAATCATCATGTTTGTTTTGTGCTGGTTTTACTAGAAAGAAAGCAATGGTATGTATTCTTCACCCCCACCAACACTTTTTTTTTTTTTTTTAAATCATTATGTATGTATGTATGTATATTTTTTATTTATTGTATTTCTAACTAATGAATAAACATACTTTTCATATAAGTAAATGTACACATGCATAAAAAACAAAAAAAGATTTTGATTTAAAAGAAATAAATCCCATTTATCCATTTAATGTGGGTGAAAAAAAATATACAATAAAAAAAAAAATACATAATCTTCATTTAATACTTTGTAGAATATCCATTATTCACTTCTACAGCAACCAATCTCTCCATCTAGTTCTCAATTAATGATTTAGAAATTTTAGTTGGTATTTTGTTCCATTCTTCTTCACATATGGTCTTCAGATCCAGGATGTTGGAGCTCTCGATTGGATTTGAATTTTCAAATAGCACCACAGATTCTCAATTGGGTTTAAGTCTGGGGACTGACTTGGCCACTTCAGGATATTTGTTATTTTCAGCAAGCCATTTCTTCATAGATTTTGCAGTGTGCTTAGGATCATTATCTTGGAAGATCCAATCAGGAGGAAGTTCAAGATTTTCAAATGAAATCATTAAATTTTCTTTCAAGGTATTTTGATATACTGCAGTATTCATTCTACCATCTATTACTGATATGTTGCCAGTACCTTTTGCAGAAAAACATCTCTAAACCATGATGCTGCCACCAACAAATTTCACTGTTGAAACTGTGTTCTTTTGTTAGAAGGTATCGCCATCTTTCCTCCATACATTATTTCTAGAATTACATTAAAACTCAATTTTGGTTTTGTCTTTCCATAATACTCTTTCTCAACACGATTTTCCTTATTATGTTCACGAACGAATTTCAAACTGGCATTTCTGTGTTCAATGGAGTTTTCTGAGGGGAGTGTGGTTTTAGATTGTTCCTATGAATTTCATTGCTTATTGTCTGTTTAGTGACACAGATTCCTGATGAAAGCAAATCATTCTGTAACTCTTGATGAGTAACCATTGGATTTTGTTCAATTTGACACATTAATTTCCTCAAAGATCTTGAAATCTTTCGTAGAGCACTTGTTCTTTGGTTTTCAAGTTTTAAATTTTTTATACCTTGCAATGAGTGAACTAACAGTAGTAAATGAAATATTCAGGTTGTCTGAGATTTTCCTGTAACTTTTATCTTCTTTCCAAAGCTTCAAAATCAGTTCTTTTTGCAAATTTATCGATTCTTTATCTTTTGCCTGATGATAACCTTCTTGCACAAATATCAATAACAGAATTTTCTGTTTGTATTTTCTAGGCTAAAAATAACTACCGATAACATTATTGGAATATTCCATTTGAATTAACACTTTATCTAGCTTTTTATTAAAGCAATTTAAAAGTTTTCAAATTTGAAATTTGCATTGTACAAATACTTTATTCACCCATTAAAATGGATAAATGGGATTTATTTTTATTAAATTGAATTTTTTTCTCTTTTCTATGCATATTTAGTTATTATGCAGCTGTATACAGTTAATTATATGAAAAATGTTTATTCATTAGTTGGAAATACAATAAATTAAAAATTTGTGTGTATGAACATTTGTCCACCCTGCCAAAGTGTGTATATATAGTTTGTGTGCGTGTGTGTAACTTGATCAAGCTGCATATGTTGGGTCATAGTGCTGAACTTTTCCCCCTTTCAGTGTAATGAGAACAGATATTAAATTCCTACCTTACAGTCAGTGTCAGATTATATGCAAATGAAGAGATTGGATGTTTATTTACCATTTAATTGTTTCTCAAAATGAACTGTCCAGGTGCAAATAAATTAAAAATCTGGTCTTGTTTTGGTGGTGGGAAGTTCATAATTTACATAAAATTTAGCCTTTCTCAATGTTTCTTTCACTGAGCTCTCATTTGCATATCTGAGAAATACATTTCTTCAGAAATGTCAAAGGAATTTAATGAAATAAACTATTGCTTGACACAGGGTTTGAACTAATGATCACCAGGTAAACTAAAACTAACTATTAGGCTGCAATTCTCTTACATGATGATGGTTAGATTACCTGGTAGTTATGATTTCAGTCCTTAGGTCACACAGTAGAATCTTACAGTAACTGTACACACATACTGAAGAAAATGAAGATTATTGCTAGAAACAAATCTGTTGGAATTAAAATTTTTACATTTAAACATGAAAAATAAAATCTTGTCAGTTATTTTGTAATAGTATATGAATATTAATGAAAAAGAGAATTGAAATTCATTCATAAATCTATTTTGCTTAGAGAGAAATTACTTATTTTTTCTATTGTTCTGAAGTAATTCAAGGGAAGCAACTTTAGGTACCTTAAGAGTTACTTCCCCTGCAATAACGATCCATGTGTCTCGGTTTTTGTACAAATATTCAAATTTATGTAGAAAAAATTTTAATGTGATGTAATAATCTAGCACGTAGACATCATGGCGGTCATATAAAAATTACAATCAAATTTCAATCCATATTTTGAAGAGGAATCCTCGAACTTGTATTTTTGAAGAAAATTTAAAAAAAAATCTATATAAAGATTTTATAAAAAAAAATTATAGCAGACATATCAGAAAATATTAACCAGTTTCAGGCAGAAACCTTTTTATTGAAAATTATTAATAAGATATGATATCACTGGATTATGACCTTTTGGGGTCAGAAGGATAATGAAATTATGGGGCTCCTTTCAGATGGAACCACCCTCTAACTTGCCTGCACTCATCTTGAATTTTTTTTTTTTTTTTTGTTACTTGTGATATATTTTTGCAACGTTTACATAGCTTGGAGTAAACTTTTTGCAAAATGTTTGTCAAAAATATAACACTATTTTACTATTTATTGCAAACCAAATTGGAACATAATTCAATGCAACCATTGTAAAAAAAGAAAAAAAAAGGAAAAAAAAAAAAAAAAGACTTTTTATAACCAGCATTATTTATAACAATAAAAATAAATAGGAGTTTATCATATTGATATCATTTCAGTTTCTGAAACAATTTAGAAGTTTTAACATCTAAAAAATTTGAAGCTTGAGGGGCCCTGGGTTGCTAGAGGATAATAACTATACATGCAAGGTTGAATTAAGTTATTAGAAATTTTAGATTTTGTGTCTACTATTACACCTGTGTCTGAGGTATAAATAAAAGAACATAACGCGTAGACATGCAGTCCATGCAAGACTACAATTAATAGTCAGAGTAGCAGAGTTGGATATAACTGAAGTTTGAATTGAAATCATTAAGAAAGCTTCTGGTATCCAGTCATATGAAAACAACTTTCATAAGAAAAAAGAAAACAATTTTTGTAAATCACTATTAGCAGAGTATAAAAATTTTGGATTTACAGTTTATCGAGCTTTTTATTTTCCTTCTTTTTTTTTTCCTTGTGGACAAATTAAATATTTTTACAAGACCAAAATTTCCACACTCACAACGTCCCAGAAAGAAGTTTTTTCTAAGGCTACCAAAAAAAAAAAAAAAAAGAGAATTTCTATATAACATTGTTTAAGGATGAAAGAAATCTTTGCATGCAGTTATTTTTTCTCCCTTGGATAAATTTTGATGAATTGTGTTTAACAAAACCCAAAATAAATACTTAAATTTTCATTTGAAATTGTTTGAGTGTACAAAGGGCAGTGTTTTTTCTTAAAATGTAATGGGTTAATTTTAAGTAACTAAAATAAAATACTATTCATAAAAAAAAAAATCAATATTCATGCTACATTGTTAATAAGTGGATTGTGATTGGCACAAAGAAGAAATTTGTCTTGGATCAAGTTGATGATAACTGCTTAAAGAAATATGTAGAAAAGAAAAGTTGTTTCAAGTAGGAATCAAAAGCTTTCTATTTCAATGTGATATTTTCACATCTGTTTTCAAATAATGCAACAAACAATATCTAAACAATTGAGTGAGTGACATATAAATAAGAAATAAACTTGTTCTAGCCATTTGCACAATTTTCAAATCCTGCTATTAAGTAAACATTGAGCACCCACTGTTTAAAATCAATTTTGATTTCAATTCAGGAAGTTTTTTTTAATATTTATTTTTCTGCTATGCAGTAAAGATTAGAAAATATATGATAAAAATTAATTAAAACAGCCTTAAAAAACATGGCCTTTGTTTTAGTTTCTGCCATGAGTTTTGAATATTTAAAATTTAAAATGTTTTTATTAAAAAACATTGTTCCCCATGTCAAAGGGTACAGTTGGTTGGTCGGCAGTTATTTGGCTTTGTCAACAGGGATTTTGATTGCGACTTGTGGGTCAGGAAGAGGCAGGGTCAGTTGGTGCAGTCTGAGTGACAGTCAATATCATAAATCTCGGTTTTTGATGTAACGGTTACCTTCAGAATGTTGACCAAAGTAGACATATTTGCTTTTGCCAAACCTCACTGCAAAGAAAAGAGTAAAAAGAAAGTATTTGTAATAAATCTAATTGAAAGGCTTGCAGACATCCTCACTCCATAATGGGAAAATCAACATAGGTGTCCCTACTCCCAATCAAACGACTCAATGATAATTTCTAAAATAATTCATAAGTTTTAATTAATAAGGGTCTCAAGAGAAATGATGCTGTCAACTCAGATATGCTAAAGATATATATTTATATATATATAAAATATACAAAAGATGTATTTTGGCATCAGTAATTCTTTCAAACAGGTTTGGTTAACTAATATAAACAAGTTCTGTCTGTCAAATTTCTTTTATCTAATTTTTTCGAATTTCTGAATTAGGTGTTTTGTGTTATCGGTAAATTTGTCAAACTTCATGTTTATTTTTATTTTATATTTTCTTTCTAAGTACTTTTGAATGTTGCTAAATTCGCTTTCAAAGATTATTCTGGTTATATTTATGCAACTATTTTTTAATTCCAACATTTTTACATTTGAATGACTTGAAATTTGGTTTCATCAGAGTGACATCATATAAACACTCAAACTTAAATTATTATGTTTATTTTTTTTTTTTTAAATTTCATATTGATCATAGTGCAAAGAAAGACTCCAAATTCTATAGGCTGTTGAAATGAAAGAGAATCAGCCAACATTGAATAAGGCGTCTTTCTACATAGGGAACCATATTTTGAAGTGTGTTTTAAAAAAAAAAAATTCAAAGAAAGAGCAAGCATAAACAATATAAAAAATATAAAAGGAAAAATAAAAGAAAAACTTCTTACCTTTGGGATTTTCATTATAGACTGTGGATGGGAGAGGGTGAAATGGTGATTCTGTACTATTAGAATCAATTTCCTGAAAGAAAGAAAATATATAGATATTTGCTTTTATAAGTGTTTCACATTTTTTATATCTAGAGAACAATTGACTCTCACCAAAAATGACAACACTTTTGCTTTTATGATTTACACAGGTAAAGTGGTTTGTAGAGAGTGGTTTGCCCATTTTTCCTGTTATTTCTCTAGTAATTACCAATGGTATACCAGTGAGGAGACCATTCTTCCAGATATCTGACAGGACAAACTGAATTCATGTCAATTCTATTTTCCATGCTGATGACTGTTACATTACCTCGCATCTCTGAGTGGTTAGTTTATAGAGTGCAGGGAGAAATGGATTCATGCTTTTCTCAAGGGCAGTAATGTAAATTGAACATAAGCGTCTTCAGCTGAAATTTACCAATTCTATTTTTTGTACTAACATCTGTTGTGACACTTTTGCACCTCTTCCATAATAACAGATGAGCAAATATAACAGAAAAATGTGCTGTGACATGTTTCATTCCAAAAAGGAATGTCTTCAGACAAAATTTTTTTGTTTTAAATTGTGAACAATAAAAATAAAAGGGATAAAAAGACAGGTAAGACAGGCACAGGCTGAGTTTCAAACTTTTGATACACTGAACACCAAAATTTAAATGTTGAGCATCCCTGTATCGTTAATGTTTTGATATGAAATGTAACCAGCATTTTTTCGTGTTTTTTATCCTTTCTTTTTCTTTTTATATAGGAGATCAATAAAACAAAAAAAAATTTGTCTGATGAAGTGCCTTTTTGAAATGAAACGTGTCACTACAGTTTTCCAGCTTGTCACTTACTTGCTATTATTCTCATACATAATTTTTATATTCCACACACACACACACACACACACACACAGGGATGAGGGTGCTGAAAAGTTTTTGTCTAATCCATTTTCTTAAAATTTGACTAAATGATCCAACATCAGATTTGGGGTAATTTTTGAAAGGGTTTCTTGGTAGCTGTGAACTTTACTACTCCTCGTGTATATATATTAAACAACGAAATGTCAACACAAATTTCTGATCCCAACATTACATTAATCTTTAAATAGTCGAAGATTAGTTTTATTATCTTTGGTGCTAGTAGTAGTAATAGTAGTCACAGTATCAAAATATGTGAACATTTTTATCATCCTCACCTGAGTCATGATTGGCTTGGCGATTTTCATCAGCCTCCCAATTCTCACAGCTTCTTTTATTTCTGAGGTTCGGACAGGAGAAGAATCTAAAAACTTGAGATGTTGCAATTCAGAGAGAACATAATACCTGCAGAAAATATACAATGTATTTTAGGCAGTAATTAATAAGATTGTTTTTGATTGTTACTTCTTTCTTGGGAGAGGGGAGGGGTTTCAAACACATCAAATAATGAAGGTTTTGCAGTTTTAATAATAGATAAATCTTGACAACAGTGCATAAATTCAAATACCTTACAATGGTCAATGGCTCCAGTTACCCTATTATTTATCTGTAGCTGGGAGGGAGAAGTGAATTTATGCTTTTCCCAAGGGTGTGAATGCAAATTGTTTAAGCCACAGTTTGAATGAGGTTTGTCAATTTCATTATTGGTGTTCTTAACTGCTAGGACATTCCATCTAAAATTAAGAGTTTTTTCTTGAAGAAAAATTAGCTTTCAGTCAAATTTTACTCAAAATTTGTCAAATTTAGTTTATTTGAAATTTGATCTGAAATTTGGTAAATTTTCAAGCATTTATTTTTAATTGTTATCTTAGTGATTATTTACAAATTCTTTGATTGAATTTTGAAAAAAATTCACAAAATTGCTACTTCCAAATGTGCATGATGTTCAAGTTCAGAAAAAAAAGAAAAGATTTATTTTCCTGTTGAACCAGAGACAATAAGTGGATCATGTATAACAACTTAAAAATGATCTGCAAAATGACTTCATAAAAGATAAACTTCAAAAATATTTCATCAAAAACCAACAAAAGTTTATGATTAGCTGCAATTTTCTCCTACAAGGAATATCAAAACTGCTAATGTTTACTGCAAAGAATTGAAAGAGGTGCATAAAAAATTGGCAGAAGCCCCACATCAGCCAATCAAAACCAGACTACTTTTGATCTCTGGTATTACCCCAGTCTCCATATTCTCTAAACTTGTCCCCAAATGAATAGTTTTTGTTTTGTAATCATTTGGACAACTTTTTTCTTAAGTTGAAACAGTTTGCTAATAGGAAGGGTACTGGTAATATTTTTATCCCAAGAATTCTATCAGAAAGTTTTACTTTTACTTGTCAAAGATGTAAAGATTTAAATAATTCAAATTTTGACTGATAATGTTAATGGCAAATAAATTTGATAATTACTTGTATTTCACATTCTAATTTGGCCATTATTTTCAGATCAATGAAACATTGATGAATCCATCTTAAGTTATGTGACATGTTTACTTTTTTATGATAACGTATTTATTCTATTTTTGTCATGTGAGTGTCGGTTTCAATCCATTACAGCCAATGATATTTTCTAAAAGAGAAAAATCACTTGAAGAAATATTTTTATTTTAATCCAACCAGAGGAAAGCTGGGCAATGGTAACTGCAAATAAGAAATAATTCAAAAATAAAATGCTTATAAATACACACACACACAAAAAATAACCCCCAAACTATCAGTAGTCCCTATAAATAATATTTGCTACTATAAATGTATCTTAAGAAATGTCTGATAATTTTCATCATCAAAAGATAGTAGCCATTATTTTCCAAGGATTTTGTATTAAACAAAGAGAATTTTTCTTATTTTACACATTTAGCAAAAATATAAAAATAAACAAACAAAAATTAAAATGGCTAAACAGATTTAATTAGAGAAAAAGAAAAAATTCCTGTGAGAATAAAATTATTCACTGACTTGTCCAAGATTTTTGGAATTATTTACATTTGAACTAATATCCTCATTTTTGTTGTTATTATCATAATGATGTGGCTGTTGTGCCCTCTGACCTTCTTTAGGTATTTGTTGAAGAATACCAGCAGGCACAATGACCAAAATATTTTGATAATAACAACAAAGATGAGGATATTAGTTCAAATGTAAATAATGATAACTCCTCATTTCAGAAATTCAGGTAGAAATTTTGGGATTATGTTATTAGAACAAAACAGGATTGGTATAAGTTCAATAATATGGGTAGGTTGTAGGTAAGTCATTCACATATACAAATGACTATCATTTGTTAAATATGTCTGCAATGTTTACCCCAAAAAAAAAAAAAAAAAACAGTTTCTTAAAAGGACATTTTCCTCTTGTCATATCTACTACTGTATACTCTCTTGACAATGTTTATTGTTTTAAAAATCTATGTCCAAAATATTACAGATTATTTAGTTGTTAGATTGTTTCTTTACAACATTAATTTTATATTTACAAGATTATAAAAATATGTGAATATCTGAATTGATTGGCAATTAGCCAATATTTTGCCAACTATTCCAAAGAACACAAATTGTTGGCTTTACCAATTGCTTCAGTAAAGGCATTTAGTATTCATTTTTTCATTTAAGATTTCTTCAGTCATCATTTGGCTGACAATAATCTATTTGCAGATTTTCTAGGCATGCTTCATGTAAATCTTTAGAAAAATTAGCAACAATTTAAAAACTGTTTCAAAATTATGTTTTTCCAAAAAAGAGTAAGAAGGGTAGTTAACTTATAATTGTTTGAGTTACAAACTTTCCAATTACAATTTTTCCATGGATTACGCATTCGAGATCATGATTATAAAAAAAAATTGGAAAATAAAAAGAAGTATTTCAAGATATAAAATTATCCAAGAAAATATGGAATGTTTTGAAAAATCATATTTCTATTTACATTTTGTTTTTCTACAGTTTACAAACGTCTTTTTTATGAATTTATGAATAAAAAATTGTTTCTATTTATTTATATATAAAATGGTAAATTAATATTGTATTGTAGTTGGTTCATTTGTTTTTATAATTTCTTAAATTTTTATTAAAAGATTTTTCATAATTATTTCTTTATAAAGTGGTAAATAATAAATCTTTAATAAAATGGTAAGTAATAAATATTACATTGAAGTTGTTTCACATAATTTTATAATCTGGTAAATAAATCTTAATCAAATAGTGTGTAAAAGTTTTTGGTGTTATTAAAATTCTAAACAGATTTTTTTAAAACAATAAATATTGTCAATGGAGTATATAGTAATAGTCGGTGTCAAGAGAAAAAAGTTTTTTGATGACATTGTTTTATGGCATATAAAAAGGCTAGTTTTTGCCAATATGTCATTGTGAAATGTAGCCCCCATCCATCAAATGCATCACCTGTATCTCTGGTAATCACTTGCACTATTCTCCAAACAGGACAATTCATTTGGACAGGCACCATTTCCAAGGAGGCTGAGATATTTTAGGCTGGGAAAAGCTGTTTTCACTTTGCATATTAAATTTTCTAAGTTGTTGATCTGGCAACATTCAGGAAAAATAAATTATAATTCAAGGATTTTAACACAAAATAAGAGATTATATTTGTTTGATATTATTTTTTATTCATTGTAATTCTAATTATTCACAATTATTGTCATTATTTCTTATTCTTTTATTGATATCAATAATGATTATTATTTGGTCATCATGTATCATTATATTGTTGCTTCTTAAAGAAAATGGCTGATTGAATGTAGTGCTTTGTTCTTCATTAGGTTAAATGGTTTTTCAAACAGCATCTGTGCTGTTCTTAGCACATGATTTCAGGTTTATATTAGAAGATGAGAAAGAAAAGCTGAAGAAAGTATCACCAAAAACAATGTTAAAAACCAGCAATGGTTCTAGATTGAAAAACATGTAGAATAATGAAAATAGTTTGCTTTAGAAGTTTGGAAAAATGATATTTTCTATAAAAGGAGGCCAGGTGGAGTGATTTAAAAGAGCCAAGCTTCTGCCAGTATTTTTTAAAAGAAAAATGTGTCTTAATTTTCAGAGAAAACAATGAACAACATCAGCAAACTCATTGTTCATTTTACATTGAATAAAAAAAAAGGAAAATCTTCCCCATGGAAAGGCTGATGCAATACAATCTTCTACAATACTGCTAACAGTTTCTTCTATTACACTTCTCTTCTCAGTCAAGTTTGATCTTGAAAAACTTAAATGCAATGTCAATCGTTATGTTCTGTCCTCTTAAATTCTGTTCTTTTATTTTTCTCACTCCTTAATAGTGTTTTTCTTATATTTGTTATGATTCACTATAATGATGAAATTTCAGATCTTTATTTCTATAATGATGCAATATCATCATCATGATGAAGAATCATAACAGAATTCTTTCACATTCAGTAACCCCATTCCTTATTACAGAGAGATGGTTGGTAGGACTTAATGTATATTGAATCCAAAAACCTTCAAATGATGATTGGTATCAGCCTTTCTCAACACTGAGATCATGTCTAGGCTATAAAACTGAGTACACTGCTGTTTTTTAATCAAATGTTCAGCTATTGCTGAACCAGATTAATTAATGCATATATATAAATTGTCCACCTGGACACCCCGAGGCGGTGTAATGGTTAGCAAACTTGTCTCACTAGAACAATCATGCCTGAGTAGTGAGTTCAATCCTCACTGGGTGCCCCCTACTTTCAGCCTTGTGCCACATCTAAGCTATGCTTGGAAAATCACTATAAATTGTCCACCTTTCTCTTGAGATTACTGGCTGGAATATGTTTGGTCGATCTGTGCCCCTGACCTTTGACCAGTCCTGTTTCATAGTCAGCATCATAAACTAAGACTAGTAAATATTGGGAGAAAAAAAAAAAATCTACATGTGTTTTCTTTATTTGTTAACTTTTTTTAAATGAGAAAGATCCTAAGCATTTAAAAAAAATGTGGTTTTAATAAAATTTTCTCAAAGGATACTTTGTTCTTGTTTAAAGTTAATGTTTGGAGCCAATTTAGTTTAGGGAATTTTGTGTTATCATCAATGCAGTTACTGTCAAGAATTAGCTCCTCAAGTTTCATGAAACATTCAAGGCCTCTCAGGTCACTAAAAAGACAGAAAATGTGAACAAATGAAACAGATACCAAAGACAATGATTATGCATCTTCATCTCATAAGATGATGATTATAGAAGACATCCAAGACAAGAGAGTCCCAGGTAGCAGCCAAAAATAAAAGAAATAACATTAGTAAAAAAGAAGAATTCAAACCAGTTGAAGAAAAAATAGACACAAAATAGTACAGGAAGAGCTTTCATTGTGTCAAAGATTAAATTTGCTGCAGCTGATCCCCTCTTTTGTATCCAAAAATCCCGGACCCTACCTTGTTACTGGATCTTGGAAGGGATGTAGAAAAGGTAGGCTCTTAACCTGTGCAACCTCTTACTTACCAAAAAAGTATCCACTTGTGTATATGCAATTCCTTGAAATGAACCATCATCATTCTCCCCCTCCTCTCTTGGAATGGCTAATAAGACATAAATAGCAATCATTTCCTTCTTCTTCATAACACTTGCCAGTAACTCTGTGTTTTCTGTTTTGTAGGCCACAATTGTTTATCCTGTATATATTTTATGTTCTGTTTTAGTAAATTAAATATTTGTTTGTGATTTAGCTCTGTGTTGTGGTAAATCATTTTTTTTTCCTTTGTTACAATTATCAACACATAACACTATCCCTCCTAGTCCCTATTCTGCCATCTATTTACACAATCTTGTTAGGTAGGTTACTCACTGAATTCCTCTAAATGTCTTGTGAGTGTCAAATTCTCCAAGCATTTCTCCAAAATTTTCAAGCATTTAGATGGGTAAGAATGTCTCAACTTGAAGCATCTCAATGTATTTAGGAGTTCTTTTGATGAAGACAATTGACGATTGATTGATAAAATGGAAGAAATACAAACCAAAAAAGATTGAATAAATCTATTTGCTTATTTCTTTATGAGTTTAGTTTGGAAATAAATCCAGTTTTTATACAGAACAATTTTATCCCAGGCAAATGTAAGTGGCTTAATTTCATTACCAGTTTCCCCCACAGCAAATCTATTATTATGTCCTATGTTCAGTAGTTTATAACAGATTCTTCTCATTCTTTCAAACCCTCTATAATTTATAAATGGGATCATGTGAGCATTACTCTACTACTGTGACTGTGCGTGCAAGTAAGTGAGTGAGTTAAAGAGAGATTCTCTTTTTGTTTATTTATTATTTTTTACAATACACAACATATTTTTAATTTATCTAGTAAAATTACAAACATTTTTATAAAGAAAAAATGTTAATGACATTAATCTAAAAAATTAATTAGTATTTTGATATACTAATATATTGTTATATTCATCATCATCATCATTTATTCAGTTAGTGCATTTAGTGCCACTGTGGTCACCATGCCCCACCATCTTACAATTATTGTTCATGGTGATATTCAAGGCAAAATCAGTGCAATGGCTTGCTGGTTCCTTTTACAACAGGGATGTTGTGGTTACCATGACCCTCATCTCAGAGGTGGATTTGTTTTTAAAGTTACCTTCTCGCCTTTGCCCTAAAGAATCAGGACCTACAATGCAGCAAGTGGTTTGAATTTAGAGTTTTCTTCTTTTAGGTTACCACTCAAGGCTATAGGATCCAATCTGTCCTGCTATTTTACTCATAGCTGGATGGAGGAGAGATGAATTCATTTCCTTTCCTAAGGGTATTAGCACATAAACGAATGTAATGAACTTGGCCGGAATTTGAACTCGGCTCTCTGATTCCTCAATCAGAGTCGTTAACCATTACTCCACTATGCCTTTATATTGTTATATTATGAGATTTTATTATAAAAGGTTGGGATTTTTTGTCAATGTGTGTTTTTCTAAACTGTATATATATGTGGATTTCCTTTCTCTGTAAGGAATCTTATTCAATCTTAAAATCAGAGATAAAAATGTGTAGTTTCAAATTAAAAATAGTATAAAATTTTTTAAAAATATGAAAAAACAAAATATATTTCAAAATAAGCATGGAATTCATGTTTTAACAAAATGTATTGAAACAAAGAATATGGCTTTTAATTCTTGGGAAATTTTGAAATGGGTTGACTAAATCGTAGTCAGGCAGAGTCTCTCGATTCAATTTCTTAATCTCTACTATCTTCCCCGGCTTCGGTACCAACCCATATTTATATGGTCCATGTAAATTAGGTGTATCAAAGAAACTAAATTCATGCAAAACTAAATTCAGCATTGTTTTCTAAAATTTGTTGAAAATTATAAAAAAAATCATATTTTCCAATTTTATTTTTGGCATCACAGATTAGATGAAATTAAATAAAAATGCTTGGCATTTTTTTCAAAAGCATGAAAAAATAGAGAACTGCACAGGTTTTTAGTGTTTGGTTGAAATTTTGTCATATTAATATTTGGTGCGACAAAGAAGATTTAATCATTTGTAAATCTCAGAAGTATCATGTAATTTAATTATGGGATATATATTCATATAGATAAAATGCAATATGTATAAATTACAGATCTTCAAAAGATGATGATCATGATATTACTACTATTATTATTATTAGTCTGTCAAATCTGTCGCCATCCCCAAAATGATGCTCTTTCAGACAACTCCACTCAGTCAAGTGATAAAGGCTCTACAATGAACACTTAATTTTTTTTTTAAGACTTTCAGCATAATATAGACACACTGCATTTAAAATTGATTGTAGAAGATATATACAAAATGGTTTCAGTTAATATGTTCTGTCTTAACCAGGTATTGAACTCATAACTCCTGTCACTGGATCTAATCAACGCCTTTATCCACTGTGCCATATGTCCTTAAGGTTAAGGCAGTGGAGAACTTGGTGAGGCAAATTAACAGGAGATAACTGATAACTGACATCCATTAGACATGGCATGTGGAACTAGAACAGTCTACCCCAGCAAACGAAATAAAAGGGTTCAGTTCGACATTCCAACCACCTGAAGAAGGCCGAAGCGTACAACGGCCGAAACATTGTGATAAATATGGCAACAAAGATGAGGACAATAGTCCAAATAATGTAAATAGTGTACATAATACCTCATCTCAGAAATATAGACAGATAAAAAATATACTTTAAAAAAAAAACAAAACAAACAAACAAACAAACCAGTATCATAAAACCATTATGATAGATCAATTTGTTCAAAATTCTGACTTTATCTTATTGTCACATTTCAATCATTGTACCTTATGGTCTTCTTTAGATGTGTTTGTCATATTCATATAACAGTTTTGGAATTTCAAATTGAGCTGTTTGTTCATGTGGGTAGACTATTCCCATTCTGCTGTCCATTCTTGTAGGCATCTTGTCTTATTTCATTGTTATTTCATTCTTATGATGACATTCCTACCTATTCCACTAAATTTACCTGCCTGACCCAGGGATTGACCTTTCAACCACCAAGTACACTGTAATTTTTATATCCCAGAGACTATTTTGTTACTGAATATAATAGACACTCGAAGGAGGCCAGAAGATACGAAGGATGAAACAATGTTGAGACTATAACAACTAAGATGAGGACAACAATTTGAAGAATTTATTCCATAGTAACAATAATTCCGCATTACAGAAATTCAGATAGAGATTAAGAAAGGAAAATTTTGATAAAATTATTACTGCAATCAGGTTTTAGAAAGGTTGGCCCCTTACCTTAAATGATTGTGACTCAGATCCAGGCATTTTGTTGTCATGCAATAATTTTCTATCAAATAATTTGGAATTTGAGAAATACTGTTGTTGGCATAAGTCAGCTGTAAACAAAAAAAAAAATCTTTTTATTAAATTTTTAACAAGTGTAAATTGGTGAAACAGTCATTAGCTTAGAAAATATAGAACTAGATTTGAATTTTGCCTTCTAAGAAATTTCTGTAGTAAAGCATTGCCCATGTCAGATTGGCTTATAAGGGATATTGGGATGATAGTTCAAGTCCTCTCTAAGGTTATTTCTTTGTTTACTGATCAATCATAGAACATAAAAATGACATAAGTGTTGTGTTAAAACAAAAGCCACAAACATTTGGATGAACTAGTCAAAAATTAATAACAAAAATAGGGTTGGTGCACAAAGTTCAACATGTAGATGAGACAGTTTATGTCTGCTTAGCACTAATGTCATTAAGAAAGGCATAAACCTATCACTCCCTGCATTATCACATCAACAGATATCTTGATAAAAATGTCCTGTCACTTCAAACAACATTAATCAAGTATAAAACATGGGTTAATATGGATTCAGGGCTTGACTTCTGCTGTATCAAGTTGCCAAGTATGTCAAGCCTTTGGGGATAATGCTGTGAGGGAACACATCGCCTGGCATTGGTTCCAGAAATTCAAGTTGGGATATCTGTCCCTTTGTTTGACACCCTACAGTGACCAGCTGTAGGTCCTGGATGATGAGGCTCTGAAGGCAGCCATAGAGGAGGACAATATCCAAACCTGTGGTGAGCTTGCCAAATGCTTCCAGCTTTCTGATGAAACAGTCAGGCTATACCTGCACTACATAGGGAAGGCATACAAGTTGAGCAAATGGGTACCCCACACACTTTTGGGAGCCAACAAGCAACAAGAAGTGACAGCTTTCTCAGCACTGCAATGTATCCATATTTGATCGAATGCCTGTCAGTGATGAAAAGTGGGTCCTGTATGACACTCCCAAGTGCGTCAGACATTGGTTGTCACCACAGAATCCTGTACCTTAAACCACAAGACCACCTCTACACCTATGAAAGGTCATGCTCTATATCTGGTGGACTAGTTGACAAGAGGTTCACTATGAGCTGCTACCAATGAGCCAAACCATCATTGCAGACCTGTACTCACAGCAGTTGGAATGTGTGCAACAGGCTCTGAAGCAGGAGCCAGCATTGGTTAATTTCAAGGGTGTACTGTTCCACTATGACAATGTCAGGCCTCATGCGTCATGGGTGGCCAGGGATACAATACAGTGACTTAGCTTGAAGGCACTATGCTATTCACTTTACTCTCCAACAGATTATCACATCTTCCATTCCCTGGACAACCACCTTCATGGTAAATCCTTTGCAAATGAGGCAGACTTGTAGCAGGGACTCACAGACTTCTTTGTATCCAAGACACCTGATTTTCATCATGAACTGGAGGCAGGTTGGCAAAAAGGTTCTGGATGCTGATAGGGATTACTTTGAGGACTAATGGTATATCAAATTTGCTGTATACTATTTTTTTTTCTAATAAATCAAAAACAGCAAGGACTTTGGTTATCTTGTATATGAAATAAATAGTTTATTAATAATTTAAAAAATTGTCCTTTAAACAAAAAATATGGAATATTCTAAAATTAATTCATTAGTTTTGCTATTGTTTATTTAAAAAATAACTGAATGATGGGTTTTAATTTGAAATGCTAAAATAACAGCATATTATTTTGCTCTGTTTCCTTATGCTAATGATTATGAATGTTTAATTTACTAATGTCTGCACTTATATAAAGAATACAGGAATAAATTGTTTATCAAAACCTTGCTTGGAACATGCTAAATCAAAATATATGTGGTTTTAGGGATCTAAATATTATACTTTAGAAGTTTAAGCTGGAAACAAATGCCCTTTATTACAGAATAAATGACTGGATGTTTTCTAGGTAGAATTCATACAACATGGTCAATTTATGAAGGATATGACATAGTGAGGGTTAGACGTTCCCATCATCTGGCACCATTAGGAATTGCCTGAAACCACACTACAGGTTAACCAAAACCATGCAAGCAAAATTGTATAGATGGAATTATTTGAAATCTGTCGATGACTATGCTTGCACAAAGTCACAAGTCAGCATGACTGAGGGTTTGCGCATACTGAGCTTGTTCAAAACTGATCACACCAGATTATGCACTCTCTCCCAGAAACTGTAGCTAAGGTTTGCTCAACACAGTTGCAACATAAACCACAGGTGTGCTCTGAGCAAGCACAAATGTGCCTGAGCAGCCGTCTGCAACTGGGATTAGCTAGCTAACCTAGCAGACAGGCATACTTGGAAACAAGCAACCAGCCATTTGATTTTTTGATTTACTGGATCACAGAATATGCTAATATTTTACAAATCCAAGGTTAACACAAAGAGTTAAATTGTCCAGCAGAGGAACAAAGATAATGTGAAAACTAGTAACCCACCAATCATTTTATAAGTAAGCAAATATTGTACATAATTTACTTACAATTCTATATATATATTCTTATTCTAAATAAACAGTGTATTCTGCTAATTTGGAATCAGGCTTTTAATTGAATTCAAATAATAACTTATGCTGAAACAACTCTGGCTTTTCCAATAATAACAATCATACACTGATGGATGTAAGTGTAGTGTAATGGTTATCAGCATGGAAAGTGAGATTGGTATACTGAGTTCAAATTCCACCCATAGACATTGCATTCACTTTTGCACAAATTTCCTTGGAAAAGGTATGAATCCAGGTCTTCTCTCCCTAGCTATGGATTAAATAGCAAAGCAAACTGGGTTCTTCTCTGGCAACCAATCTAGGAGAAGGACAACTCTAAATTTAAAAGCGGTTGGATATGAGGTTAGTAATTTTACCTTGCGAAAACCTAATTAAGCCACAGTAGCAACACTTAGCTGAATATACAACTTGCTAAGCCATTTTAAGTGTGGTGACTTGTCTCTCGAAATAAAGCCTAGAAGTCGGTGATCTTTAGTTATTGGTGCTTTAAAATGCAAGCTAATGAGGAATTTAACTACCGATACTCAAAAACTTTCAGAATAGCTAGTACTGAACAAAGTCATATTCAGTCTTTAGATGTGTAAATGAAATATGCTTTGGAGTAAAGGGCTGTAAACCCCCCCAAAATAGCCTAATGTTGGTATAATTTTGTATTCAATTATTAAGATTTACCCATGTGTGCTGAAGATGGTATCACTCAGTTATTATTAGTGCTGTAATTAATTTCATGTTTTATTTTAAGTATGATGATTAATGGTAGTTTTATTTTGTATGAACAAGCACTATTGTTTGTGCAATCTATAATTAACAATAATGAGTGCATGTGATTTAATACTGAGTAGTAAAATTGTTGAAAAGTCTCAAGGTCTGCTTACATTGATGTGTGGGTGATATTTCATGGAAAAAATTCTTATCTTAAAATGTACCATTCTGGTTAGATGCTTGTGAAATCTGTGATACACAACATGCATGAACATTAAAAACAAATTTTGCTTTTTGTAGTGGTAATTGTGTAGGTAAATAAATTTTGTGTAGAGATCAGAGAAGTAAAATGGAGGCTTGAAGGCTTTAGGATTTATCTTCAGTGCAAGGTTAGTGATGTTCATTATTATAAACTTAGAAAAAAATCTTTATTGTAAGACAAATGAAAAATTTGTTAGTTGGTCGTCTGTTATCAAGCATTTCTGAATCTGAATAGTTTGACAAAAAACTACTTGAATTTGTTCCATTGATAGTATTTAGAAAATCCCTTTCCTCTCTCTTTCCCTCCTTTTCCACTATAACTGAAAATCATTCACAAGTCTGCTCAATTGTTCCTGAAATATTACATTTTCTTTTTTTTTGAAATATAAACAATTCTGATTTGAAAACTAACCCCAAAATACATTTTCTGACAGTCACTTAAAACTTGTGACAGCTAAATGGCCCAAAGAGCAAAAATAATTGGCTTTGTTGTAAATTCTATGAAAAATAAAATAAAAAAAAAATTGCATTCTAAGAAAGTTTAACTGAATTTTTTGTCGCAACGTAATCGAGTGGGGCTAACTCAAAATTAACTAATTGTCCACTGGATTTCTAATACAATTATGGCATACATCAACATGTTGAAGCCAGTTTCATGAGTTATTATCATAGGTATTTCAGATTTTAGAAATGTATAAATGGGCTAATTAAACTGAAAATAGGATTATTGTATAACAACACACCTATTAGCTGTTGTTGGTAGGAACAACAAATTCAGAAGTTAATGTTTATTTGAAAATGACCGCTAATAGTGAACTATCTTTAAGTCAGTTGTACTTACTGGCATGGTTAATGGACTTAACTCAAAATAAAAGAGGAATAGAAGGAAAACCAGCCTTATTAACTTTGTTGCCATTAATTAATTTGGCCAACAAATCTTTTTCAACTGAACTGCAATCTTATACAATCTAAATGTCAAAGATTATGTAAAGTTCAGTTTAGGGATATGGGAGATCAATATATTTTTTAAGTTTTTTTTTTTAATTATTTCATTCATGTTGCAAAACTTTAAATTAATTCTCCAAACCGAACCTAAAAAAAGAATTTAACATTTTTTTTTAACTAACTTTAGGACCTGTTTCTATTACACTTGAGGCTATATTTGTAGTGTAGTTGATTCCTTGTCTTGATTTTTATTTAGTTTTATTTTAAAAACAAAAATGAAATCAATATTTCAAACCATATATTTACAAGCATTAAATGCATGTTTCTCACAAATTTTGATGTGTACATCATAAATTTTTTATAAAGTTCAATATTTTTCATCATATGTCATTTTTGACATTAAAGTTCATGTATGTTTGTAGAAAAATAGGAAAAAAATAAAAATTGAAGTGAGATCTCACTTTTTACTACAACTAAGACAATTTCTCCTTATATAATGTAGTAAATTTTTTTGTTGTTGTTACATAACAGTTTCTCTGTATTTGTTTTCATTAACTACAATTGTAATTTAACGAAGTTGTATTCTACATGCCAACTACAAAGCCTTTTGTTTTTTTGTTTATGTA